CAGTAGCACTAGTAGCAGTAGCAGCAGTGTAGCAGTAGCAGTAGCAGTAGCAGCAGCAGCAGCAGCAGCAGCAGCAGCAGCAGGAGCAGGAGCAGGAGCAGGAGCAGGAGCAGGAGCAGGAGCAGAAGCAGAAGCAGGAGCAGCAGCAGGAGCAGGAGCAGGAGCAGGAGCAGGAGCAGGAGCAGGAGGAGAACGAGAAGGAATAGTAGTAGTCGTCGTCGCGCTGGTGCTGGTGTAGTAGTCGTCGTGTAGTTGTTGTACTAGCGCGAGTATTCGTACGAACTTTCGTACGAGCATGGGCATTCTTGTTGTTCTTGTTGTTATTAGTACTAATAGCATTGCTATTATTCTTTGCTGTGAGTGTAACACCAACAACCATATAAGACAATGAATGACTGCAAATAACGACCTTGTCACCCTAAGCATAAAGCCAAAGGAAGCCGCAGCACCCACGACTACACATGTTTCCCTGAACGCTAAACCCGAAACCCTCAACCATACCTGAAACATCTGCGCGCCTGGGATGCCGTGGATGGGTAGTCCATCGATGCATCCTCTCACACAGAAACGGATCGAGAGTATCTTGTTGTTTCTTCCTGTGCAGAAAGGTTTTGCTGGAGGTTCCCGAGGAACTCTCTGGAGGATTTATGGGGCTTGAAAAGGGTATACAAGAGCCTTAGGTTTTCTTTGGGATTGAGGCTTCATGTAGGGTGTATGTCATGTAAGCTTAGGCCTGAGGGTTTGCACTGCAGGGTTGAAGGTGTTGGGTTTGGATTTTGGATACTGCAATGGTCGTGGTATCAGTGTTGCCGGACAGGGCAGCAGCTTATTGGCATAGCTAGGGTTTCGGGCTTGCAACTTCGGGGTAAAAGTTTGGGGTTTCGGAGAATTGGCAGTTCTGCGCTTCGAGCGCTAGTAAGAGCTGAGGGGTTCCGAAAGCCACGCTGCGAGCAAGTTCATGCACCAAAAAAACTCTACACCCTGTAAACCCGCGAGAGGCCTTAAGGCCATGAAGCACAAAGTCTTGAAAATCGCGACTTTCGTACGAGTAGGCGTCAATTTGTCGTTTTGTACGTACTAAAAACGTTCAGAAACCTGGAAATCTAACGATCATGTTCTTTTCATTGCTCAGGCTGCTCAAGAATCGAAACATGCCCCCGAATGCCCGGAGCCAATCCTCGAATGCTTGCGGTTGAGGATAAAGCTCCTTGGGTTTAGGGTTTAAGGTTTAGCCTAACCCTGAACTTTTTGTGCTCAACACTTCGAAACCTCTGAGAGTTGAAGATTTCCAAATTTTTTGAACCCCTGAACCATGGAGAGTTTCTGGACACCGGACCCCATATCCAAATTAAGAGGATTCGTTTCGAATAACTTTAGATAGTCGGATCGAACCCAAACAAACACCCACAAAGAATGCAATACACAACTCGGAATGAAATCCTGACAGCAGTTGATACTGGTCACCTTAGCTGTGCATGTCTGGGAGGTGCCCGCCTTGGCGGACAGCAGCTGACGCAGGAACAAGCGGCCGATGAACTTCATGTTCGTGCGCAATCTTCTCAATGCCCCAATGTATGCACACGTATGTATATACTTAATTCGCGCATGTTTCCAAAGCCATACCGTGAATCGACTGTACGACAACTCAAAACACGGCGTTGGCGCAGCAAAAGGAGGCTTACCCTCAACAGACACTTTTTTGGAATTGTCTTGGCAGAGTTAAGTTATAGATAAGGTTATCCTGTACCGGGGTCTCTTCATGCGATATTCCTCCAAGCATCTTTTCCCACACAAGCCTTTTTGTTTGGTGTATCCCAGTTTGCCGGGGCTTCCCAGCTCGCTTCTTGCCACCATAGTCAATTCTAGTGGCACTGCTGGGCATAAACCATACCTGTCTTCATGCATCTAAATTTGTACATCGAAGGATATGACCTAGTAGCCTACGTAGTGCGTCGTCGTAGATTATGGAACTAACTAAATAATAGTATTTGTCGTCGGTCGTCCCGGCTTGGATATGCGATCTTACTTGCTTCTTCCAGAAGCTTTGCGCTGGTATCTTGCGATCTATACA